CATGCCGGATTTAATGGCTGCCGCCAGTGCCGCCGACCCCCAAGGGGAACAGCCCGTTCGGTTTAGGGTTTCAGGGTTTAGGTGTTTCGTGCATTCAAGGGGTGGTTGGCATACATCCACCTGTATCTTCTTGGTGAGTAGAAGGCATTCGTATCAGCGGGGGGATTGGCACAAAACATACTGAAGCAGTGAAGAGCTTCTCTGACTGCCGGTTGCCGTGGCAGGCACCTGCAGACAGCAGTGACGACGACGAGACTTGCCACAGCCTTTCATCTTGAACTTGTCCACCACTGTGAAAAGGCCTTGTCAAAGCAAGTCAACATCAGTCTATCACCAGCTCAGATGTGCCCAGCACCAAAGCACCTGCAAAGCCTGCCAGGCCCTGGCAGTTGTGTCAAGCATTCAGCTCCGGTAAATATAAATCGTCGCAGGCCAGCGGCCAGCACAGCCGTGATATCTAGCCAGAGGCTCAATGCTGCATCCTTCCCGAAAGTAAGCAGATGCAAAGGCTCTTCAAAAGCATGGCTGGCTGGTGCTTCCAGGTCTCGACAGCGATGATGATGACGCTCAAATGGAACGGACGCATCCTAAATTCGTCAGCTGCAAGAATCCATCGTGCCGAAAAACGTGTCGCATGTCTTCAGAATGAAGCGTGCCCAGGTCAAATGCATTGACTACCCGACAGCGCAGCCTCCTGGGGTCCCATGGGCTGACAGGCTCTTCGGAATGTCCGGGAGCATGTTGATCATGCCTTGGTCCTTGCGAGAGTAGAGGAAGGCGTGGTCTAGTTGTGAGGTTTGGGAGCCTTTGGGCTGCAGCCGAGACTCTCCAGCAGTGATGAGGAGAGGACTGTGCCGAAGGCCCAAGGCTAAAAAGAGCTGTCCCCTGCACAACAAACGGGCTTCCGCCGCAGCCAGCGGAGCAAAGCTGCCGGCAGGCACGCCGTGATCCTCCAGAGCCCTGGCCTGAGTGGCAACGAGCCTGCACTGGCATGTAGTACGACGGTACTGTTTCCAGGACCAGGAGGCTTGCGGACAGAAGCCAGACAGGCGCCAGCTGGATCGCCGCTGCAGTGCTTTTCAGTTCTTTTCCTGCTTCCGAAAGCCAGGAAACCATCAGACAGAGAGCGACAGCACCAGTGACGATTAGGGCCAAGGACGGAGGCAAGGAGCCGAGCTTCTGCCGGCGAACGGTGCGGCACGTGGTCCAACAGAAATGGGACCAGGACAAGGACATCCACATCTGCGCCTCTGCAAGCAGAGGTGTCAGAGCCCCAGCAGGGGCCCACGGTCCACGGCCAGGCTGCACTTTATCGCCGTGCCTCCGCAGCGAGGTTGTCGATTCTGCAAGACTCTCGCACAGCGCTGCGCAGCGCGTGGTTGCGAGCAACCCCACAGGCAAGCATGATGTGCACAATGCTTGTCCATTCCTGCGACATGCCAGAGCTGTCATGAGGTGAGACGACGATAACACATAGACTTGAAGCCCAACAGACGTGTTGCTGAGCTGATCCGGGCGAAGCGCAAGAGCAGCTACATTAGCCGCTCGCCGTGAAGGAGTCATCCGCCTTGAAGGAGTAGAGGCTTGCCTGGGCAAGCCACGACCCTGCTTGAGTGCATGAGCTAGAAAAGGTTGCTCAACAAAGACACACCGCGCTTCCATCAATGCATCTCTGAATCTCTGCTACAATTTGCATAAAATTAAGACAAGACCCGTTTCACGAAAGTATGCAAATGATACAGGGTCTGAACTTCATGTTTGGTCCGCAGGAACACAAGGACTCTTGCTTCCGTTTTCGTTCGGGGCTGCTTAGTTGCGTGCGTGTTTGTGTTATATCTGCTAGGCTGCTAGGAGTGTACGTAATAAATATAATATATAATTTGAAGTTATGTTTCTAAAAAATTTGATATATATATATATATATTAAATATTACTTTTTTGTGCATATATATATATATATTATATGGAGCAAATGTGATCTATTATGGATATATCCGACAAAAAAAGTACATCTTTGAGTATAGTCATACTTACTCGCTACAATGTTCAAATTCAAAATATTAATAAAACGAATCTAGTAAGCAGGACGATTTTTCATTAAAAAAGAAATAATAAATATATAACTAATATTCGATGAATTTATTTTCGAAATAAGAATTAAAAATTCTTTATTGATAGCTATAATTTAGATATTCTCATTTTATTGGTTTCTGTATTATTAATACTCTAAAATTTCATATTGAATAATAATAAGTTATTTGTATTTTTTGAAATAATTAATTTTTTTTGTTGTATTTATTTGTAAGTAAGTAATTTAGGAAAATATAATATATATATATATTATAATTAT